GCAGCTTGTCGTGATATGTGATAATGCACCATGTCACACACGACTAGAAGAACTGTCGTCAGTCAATGGATACGAGGGAGTAACCATCCTGAGATTGAGCCCATACTCCCTGTTCCTCAATCCGATCGAGAATGTTTGGCAGGTGGTGAAGGCCAGAGTGAAGAATGAGATGAGAGTGCACTACGAGGAACTTCTGGTCGCGAATCCCCAGAAACTCATGACGCAGATGGAATGAAGGCTTCAGTTCCTTGAACGCATTGCCGGAGCAACCACCAAGGATATCAGCGTTGTGGGATGTCGTAATGCTATTCGACCTATGCGTGTACATTTTCCTAATTATCTAGAAAAAATGACATGTTTTGATCACGTTGCTGGCCTATTATTGCGTATCTGGTTGAATAGCACGTCACTGGCAGTGCGTAGGGACGTGTGAGTATTCACAATGTCCTCAAAGTATGTTTGCACGTACGTAAATTTATGTGTTCGGAAGGGGTTTGAAGCGATATCTGATGTCTAGCGCAAGGGAGTGACACGGACCGGCTTCCAGTGAGTCATGCTCGAGTGATATGTTCAAATATGGTCGTTTTCGTGCCGGCATTCGCTAAGCCGTACTCTTTCATGATCAGCCTGAGATAATGTAGATGCAGTTTCTTTGTGGGGGGGGGAACTATGATGTTTGGAAAGCGCATTGTAGGACCAAGTGAGCATGCCGGGTGAAGCAACCGTCAGATATATCACAGTATGGGATATCAGTGTGGATAGTTGCATAGTAGTGAATAGGAAATGACTGCGCTCGTCATGTCAGGCCCTTTTCCTAGAGTGAGCGGAACTGATAGATGCGCAGATGCGAGTTCGCAAACGCGTCCATTGCCAGACAAGATGTCGTCATTGAAGCCGAACGAATGAATCGCTTGTCTAATGGAAACCGTCTCTGTGCGATGTTTGTCCGCTGTATTTGAGTGTACTGGCGCGTTAATTCATTACCCAATTTGAAGTTGGTCTGTCAAATTCGAAAGCTGTACTTTAGATTTCAATGCAAGCATTCCTACAGCAAGCCCATTTTAATTTGCGTGCCAGGAAGGCCCGAATAGCTGTCCAGTACGACTTGGATACTGTCTTGATCGTTTGGAATGATCCCTCGTTTGACCCAATAGCGTGCGTAAACAATTGGGGTGTAGCTGGCGTGCATACAGTGGCGCAGCAACTACTTTTGGTGTCCCTGGCGGACGTACAATTGCTGCCGCTCTCGCAGTTGTAAAGCTCACAGTTGAAATTGCCATGCAGTATTTCGTTTCACATAACAACAATCACAGATTTACTTTTAGAGTGCTGTCGTGAATGCATCTATTTGAATTGTTAACATACTCGTGTTCAAAATTTACAGGCACGCTTTTCGTGCACTACTTGAAGACGCTGGCATCCGACCTGAATAAGCGCTCATCGAACACAATTGAATATCACTGGTCGAAAATCCGGCAGACTTTGTTAGCAGCGGGTATGTCTTAATGTGGCAAATCAAATCGCCAACCTGGACATTGGGTCACTAGGCAGTCTCGGAAACTTGTAGATGCTTGCCAACGTAATGCGGCTGATAGCGAACATAAGGAGAGTCGGAAAGATTTCAGGGCGAAACTGCTTGCTAAACTGAACAGAGACCGGGAAGCCTGGTGGCCGAGTGGTCTGCACGCCTGGCTTGCAATCTTAAGGTCACCGGTTCGAATCTATTTTCCTGGCCTACTTTGTCATCTTGGATGTCTTATCGGTGCTCACCCAGTGTCTGAAACCCCAGTCCGTCGAAAAAATTGACTATCCCGTTGACTAAGTGTTACACTGAGCCAATACCGTGGACAGGATGATGAAGTGTCACGATAACTGATCATCACTTGAATCCTGGTGCCATTTGTGACAAATGTCATTGCCTGTCGTGCAAGTGCGAAATATTGCCAAGCAGCCGGATTATGTACGGCACATATATCTCACAACACGACTTGGGTGCGCAAGAATCCGTTACTTCAACTTTATAGCGCTTATCGGACTGATTCTACGTTGTTAAACGTGGTACTGACAAAACATCAGATAGAGACAAGTGGAATTTTAAAGCCATTACTACCATCTATCTGAGCTCAGGAAATGTAGCTTGCGAAACCGCAAATTTCTCACAATTAAGGTTTTCAGACTGCAGCCGTGCGAACAATCGGAAGATATCTGAAGATATCTTCGACGCACAAGAATACGTAAATAATAATACTGCCGGTCACATTCACTATGTAGTGCATTCCCTAGCTCGCACCCTTGATCCTTGGGTTCACTGTGATTATGTTGTTGCATTTACCTGAGCACCGACAATTGTCTACACCGCACACAGGACACAGTGTCTCCATTAGCGACGTGTGCACTTTTGTCATTATTTCGGTTGCAACATTTGACCGTACTTTAACCCGGCCAGCGGTGACCAAGTTGACTGAGTGTTATTCTGGACTGGCTCAATGTCGTTCAGTTTACTTCGTGTCGGACCCAAAACGCTGCGTATTTTCAACCCAATTTCATTTGTGGAAAGTAGAAGTCACGACTAAACTCTACACAATAATATGCCTCAATGGGGAATCGAACCCTGGTCCCACGAATTTCCGGTCCGTTGCTCTATCACTGAGCTACCGAGGGCTGACGATTAAGTGCGCACTTTAATACATGACTTCTGCTTGGTGCGCGACGTATTGCCAGAATGGAGTGAGTGAGCCAATCTGCAACACCAGGACAGATAATGTGAGCTCATTGGCAATACGTCGCGCAGCAAGCAGAAGTCATGTATTAAATTGCGCACCTAATCGTCAGCCCTCGGTAGCTCAGTGGTAGAGCAACGGACCGAATATTCGTGGGACCGGGGTTCGATTCCCCATCGAGGCAGATTATTGCGTGGAGTTTAATCGTGACTTCTTACTTACTACGAACCTTACGCTACACAAACATCCTTCGACCAATTTCATTTACTTAGTCCAACCTTCCCTTGAAAATTTTTCTAATCAGTCTTGGTCATCGCGATTCGCATGTCGCACTAATCTACGGACGGGGTGGAGGGACACACAAGGGCGTCGCACACAGAAAGTGCCACATATTACAAACCTGAATGTCCTAGAAGCCAACGGTATGTGAGCGATGTGACTGGCCGGGCTAAACTAAGTTCAATTGTTGCAACTGCAATAATCATGTTGATCGAAGAAACGTTCCAGGTTGGAGTTTTGTAGAAAAATCCCCCAGATTGAGCCAGTCCAGAGTAACACTCAGTCAACGTGTCCAGGCTTATCCTGAAAGAGTACGGCGGAGCGAATACCAGCACGGAAAAGACCATAAGTTGAACATATCACTCGGGCATGGCTCACTGAAAGCCGATCCGTGTCACTCCCTTGCGCTAGACATCAGATATCGCTTCGAACCCCGTACGAATACACAAACTTACGTACGTGCAAACATATTTTGAGAACACTGTGAATACTCACACGTTCCTACGCACTGTCAGTGACATGCTATACAACCAGATACGCAATACTAGGCCAGCAACGTGATCAAAACATGTCATTTTTTCTAGATAATTAGGAAAATGTACACGCATAGGTCGAATAGCATTACGACATCCCACAACGCTGATATCCTTGGTGGTTGCTCCGGCAATGCGTTCAAGGAACTGAAGCCTCCATTCCATCTGCGTCATGAGTTTCTGGGGATCCCCGGCCAGAAGTTCCTCGTAGTGCACTCTCATCTCATTCTTCACTCTGGCCTTCACCACCTGTCAAACATTCTCGATCGGATTGAGGAACAGGGAGTATGGGCTCAATCTCAGGATGGTTACTCCCTCGTATCCATTGACTGACGACAGTTCTTCTAGTCGTGTGTGACATGGTGCATTATCACATATCACGACAACCTGCCGGAGCTCCATCTCCCGTTTCAGGTTGTCTAAATGGCTTCGCAGCCATTCGAGAACTAGGGGACCTGTCAATGAGCCTCTCCGGGTGGTCCTCGATACTTTCCCTTCCATTGTGAACGCACCGACGAAATGCACATTGAGGCCTCTACTGTTGGCGACTTTGCAACTGGCCCTTGCTCCTCTGGGCGCCCGACCACCAGTACGTTTGCAGTAAACGGTGAAGTTCGCTTCGTCAATCCAAATGAAGAACTTGCCATCGCTCTCAAGTTGCAGAAACTGCTGAACGAATTCCGTGCGTATCCCTTTGGTTCGCTCATTGTTCATTCCCTCGGGAACCTGATAGACGTTCTTCATAGTTATCAATCGACCATCCAGGTGCCGTACGATTGTTGACTTAGAAATGTCCTTGTCCATTTCTGCTCGTACTTGTACTCGCATTTCCCGTAGCGTAAGAGTTGCGCCCCTTGCTATCCAATCCAGCATGTCGTCTACGTCTTCCTCCGAGAAAATCCGCTTACGACCGCGCGCCTGCATAGTACTCGGCTCTGATCAAGAGAACGAGGAATCCAGGAATAGGCTGTTTGAAATTTGACGTTGTGCACAGTTGCCACCCGCTGCCAGTCATCACCTTTGACGAAGGCGCGCAAAACTCGGTCACGAATGTCTGATGAGATACTCTGTCGAACGCGAGAACGCATGCCGACGACGTTAGAATCATAGGCATGGTTTCGGTCGTGCGATTATGTTCCAGCTGTTCATTGCTCTCAGAGCAATTATGATCCATCGTATCGGACGTGAGGTGGGCGCATACAAGCCCGTCGCACCATCGAAGTGCATTCCCCTAAGGTTCATTCACAAGTCTCACCCAGTCAACGGGTAGTGCGCCCACCTCCCCTGACTATCGCACCGAACCTTGGCATCCGGCCAATGAGAACACACTGAAGGTCAAAGTATTGGCTCTTAGCGGCTGGCGAATCGCGCAGGGTTTTGCAGCCTTTTGGACGTTGTTTACAATGTTTTGGACTTCCTTTGCAAGATTTTTTATGCAATTTGTGTAAATGCTGTAGCGCTGACTCACCGGTGTTGTGTCCTTTCCTTTGGCTGATACTAGATTGACTACCGGGCTGGATGAAGTGCGAGCAAATACCAAGTTGCTTGTCGTGGTTTGTGCGCTGCCCGGTACCGACTGTGAACCGTACTCTGACTTGTCCACCGGAGTCCGGTCGGATGTGATGTATTCCGATCTGTATTTGGACGCAAGTAGACAAGAACAGAGAGTTGAAACCAGTACAGGACACTTGTAATGGCAGTAGCACCCAAGGAACACACTGAACTGGATACATAGGCTGTCTGCAGGCAGTGTTGGTTAATTGAATGATGAAACGAATACAATACAGAACGTGGTTAATGTTCGGGTTAGCTTGTAGTTCACACCACGCAACAAATTCTACTATAGATTCAAATGATTCGAGCCATGCCGTCATAATGATCAATTCTACAAATTGGATGCCGACAGATCAAAGGTCATCTAGAAACAATAGGCAAAAGATATAACAAGAAGCTTGAGGTTTAGAGTACAAAAGTGACCGGAGGACTGCACGAGTGAAGCTGGCTTGGTGGTAGCGTAGTGCATGTGGCCCAGCAACACTCTCTCAATGAGAGAGCGCATAATTTCACTGCATATACCGACCTGATTCAGTCTTTTGGTTAGTTTTTCATAATTCTGTTCATTGCCATTGACCGATAAGGTAACCACTAACAGCGCGCGCTACGACGACCGATCAATAAGCACGCAGTGGAGATGATCTAGACGGCGCACGTGGTTTACTTGGCATCGTGTGGAAAGCGCCATGCTGGGTTGGTACATTTGACAAAAGTAGCATCTAGATGCACTTGATATCCCTCCATGAATTTTAGGTGGTTGTGTCATCTTCCCTGTCAATCTAAATTCCAAGTACTAGATGTGTACCTCGGACGGCAATAGCTTCTGTCATATGAACGTATCATAGCGCGCCAGACCCTGAAACCAATAAAGATGTTTGCCGCCACCTATTGGAACTAAGCCACCATCTCAACTCGAGAGGAAACCGGCTATATCTGACCACACAGTACGGCCGACTGGAAGGTCGCCGAGGTTTCCTCTCTGTTCATGTGATGGATATGAAGTGGCTTCCATAATTCCTCGCTCCTGTGATGCGGGAGAAAATGTACGGGGCGCAGATTGTTCACTTGTTAGGCGTAGTGTTCGGTGAGCTTAGCAATTTATTGAACACATTTCGTCACCAGTCGATGCGACATCATCAGTGCTTTGTTGTGTAGAGGAACGGAGCCATGCGCAACTACATGTGAACTGGGTAGCCGCGCGTATGTGATTTTATGGGCCATCGTCATTGACCAACTGGGCAGATAACCTTTGGAAATACCTTTATCCGTGCCTCGTGACCATGGCCCGTCCGCCTTCGCAGCTAACAACGTTGCCTGAGCTGTTTGCATTGTACCCTCTTGCATTGGGGTATTCGAATGAGTTCGTTTTTCTTTGCTCACCGACAGTGCTGGTAATCAGATGACAATTAGATGACACCCATCAACGCTACGTGATATGTCCAGTGTTCATGGGGGGACATCACAATGTGAACACACGGTATGCTCACACATAAATTCATTCGCAAATTCAGAGTAGCCACGTTTTCACTTGCGTGCACTGGAATTTACATAGTCTTCGCTTTGTAACCCCTGGTACAACAAGGTCCCGTTGTTCCAACTCAGCGTGGGAATCTGAAAGTGAAATGAATTGCATCAACTGGATCACGATACACTCGTTCGGCTGCCCAAGCATATATGAGCAAGATCTTACAGACAGCGGTAGTTTGGGACAACCAATCTCCTGAGATCATCCTCCCTCACATGCCGCAAAGTTGTACAAACCATCTTGATCGAAAGACTAATATGTCACTTCCGTGAGTGAACAAAGTCTCGAAAACCCCTACGCGTTTGGCTACAACTTACAGGAACCTATTCTACCAAGACAAAGCTATTCATGATCGTTTTGCCCACACGTTTGGGGAAGGAAGGAGAAAAAGTAGAACCCTACTGAACTCGTTATCATGTGGCGAAGTTATGGAATGATAATCCCTGAATATCGACTTAATCTTGGGTATTAAAGTAAAACGCTTGTAAGAAAACAAATATCTCTAAGTCACAACTTCCACAGCAGAGCAGCGTTTAAAACGAATGTGATTAACTGAATCAACGACATCAGTAAATCCAAGTAAAAACACCACACCAGACTGTTAATACCAGTAAGGGCATTCGACGAAAAGTTTGCAGAATTCGGTCACATTGTTTCCGTCTTCATACCAAAACTGGAATTGCTCTAGATTGCTCCACACTAGTTTGATCACAACTATTCGATTCGTACTATCAATATCTATATAGTACTCACAACCATTGGGATCCAACCCTCGCGGTTTAAACATACATCCCGTTATTCCACAGTATTCACACGTTCACCGTAGAAACACATGCACAAAAGATTATTTTATTTTGTTTAGCGATATTGGTTGTGGTCTCATTTTGACGGCAGCGCTGAGGAGCACTCAGCGGACCCCAGATACCTTCTAACGGTAGCAGTTTAGGGAAGTTACAGCTTAATCTGGTTAAACCGCAAGGATCTTCGCGTTACGTTGTAATCCAGTGCAACTACCCGCAGCTCGCTTGTAACCCCTTGTGCGCGACCGCTGTGCGCGTGACCTGATCTACAGACCTACCTCATTTTCTGTATACCTCTGTATATCTCAGTATACCTCTACCACAAGGCGGGTGCCTGGATTTGGCGTAGACGTCTCTCCGCGCGCTAATTTTGTATGCTCAGAAACTAAGCTATGCAGGCATGGGAACTCAGGCTAAAATTTGGGCTCCCAGTGCTCGAGACCCTGCAACGTCGGAAAAGGAAAAATGTTAGGGGTTTGCGCCACCTTCCGTACAATCAGCAACTTGTAGTGATTATTACTGCTTTACAATTTTCACTCTCGTAATAAATTTTATTACTACACCCTTTATATCTCTTGTTTGAGTTGATAAAACATACTAGAATATCCTACTTCGAAATCCGAGCTCACGTCGTGCTGATTTTTGGCTGCTGCTGACACTGCTTGTGTAAGCTGCCTTCCAGTTTGCTTGAAAGCCTGTGTTTACCGTGCAATTATGATCGAGCGTCTGTTTTCAATGTGTCAGACATTCACGACAGGTATATCGTCCTTCTTAACTGGAAGGTAACTGTGATTTGACTTTGAGTTCCTTTTTCTTGAGATTTTTGCATTTCCTAAGAAACTGAAACCTTTTCTTAGTTCTTAGACTATTACAGACTGAAAACAATCAGTGTTCAGTGGGCGCTAGCTGCAAACCTCATAGTATTTTACCAAACACTGAGCGACCCCAGTCACGTATGCTACCATCTTTTATAACTCAGCCCGAAAATCAAGCTCAGAGGCAATAGCCTGAAAGTGAGTTAACAACACAGTCATCTAGATTGTCGACGAAATTATTTCTCCCTCCAGATCTACCAACCCTGGAACGCCCTTCCAAACTCAGCTGTCTGTTCCCCTAACAGCTATTTTCAAAAAAAGCGGGTGGATATCGCATTGAACTCCCTACACCTTGTTACAGGAACGGCCGTTCTTGTATACATCAAGGCTAACTTGCTTCTGTGGAATTATAACCCACAGTGATGCACGTAAATCTGTGCAAACAGGTGAGCAATCCGATTGCTAAAAGCATTAACCATAGCAATTTGTTAATCCGTTTTGCATTGTACCATTTCACTCCTATAACCCTATTTGTTTAAACCCTTAGTCTATTGCTTCCGCGCCATGCCTTTTATTTTGTCCGGACATATAGTATATGACTGGCCTGCCGAACAATCTCCTCGTGGTGCCAGCTAGGTGGTTCGGGGTTATTACGTTGCTGACAATGGTTTGGGGGCAGTGCTCCAGTACGTGGTGGGTTTTCTCCTGGCAAGCGATGTCCCTATAAGATGCTGCAAAGGTATATTTAACAAGACTGAGACGTGACGGATGTGACACACCAGTAAAGAAAACCATTGTCCCTTGCTTCAATCTGGTGGAGCATTGTAAATCCAGCAACGCGCTGCTGAAAGCGTGGGGAGTTGTGCCTCTGTTTGGTATGCGTCCAAACGAAAGGCGTATGAACTGATTAATCATTCAGCGGCTCCCAGTGGGCACGATTCCCTGAATTCGATCCGCTGAGTTGCAGGTAGGTCATTCAGCCAAAGACTCTGTGTGGTGTCCTCTAAGACAACTCCCAACTTCGGCTTGGGCAACCAGGTAATATCTCGCCCGCTGGCAGAACCATGGATTTCGCAACTACTAGCACCATGTCATTCCCTTCCGTTCCTGAGCTCCTGACTGCTTAAGCACCTCAATCACACGTCAACTATATCTTCATCAATATACCACTGATGGCAGTCTCGTGTAAGTCCAAACAGTCAGACCAGTGACATACCTTCGTTCTCGATCTCCATTTCGGCTGGCGGTCTTCATCGTTAGAACCCTTATGGAAATCGGACAACAGGCCGGCCTAGCGGGCACCCTTGAGTCCTTCGCTATTGAGATTTGTTATCTTTCTGAGACTCGCTCAAAGGACTCTAACACCGTAGTTAAGTTGTCCGCTGCTGATCTCAAGACCAACTATTCCCTACATTTTCTGTTGACATAGAGGCTGATGCAGCTGGATTGGCTGGTATTGGCCTCACATCCACTGAAAAAGCTGAGATCTCACTGCTTGACTGGCTCACGATTGACAGCCGTTTGTGTGCGATTCGACTTAAGGGCTCATGCGAAATCTATAGGCATTGTACAGAGAAACGCAATTTGTTTGTGGTTTCAGCCTATGCTCCAACCGACTGCAGGTGTGCATCGGTTAAGGACGACTTCTCTCGTAGACTCCACCAGATTTCGAGTAAAGCCGATGTCATCGTCCTTGCCGTAGACTTCAATGCACGGGCCGGTCGCCTGCTGCAATGCGAACGTCATCTTGGTGGTCGTCAGGCGCTTGATGAGAGTCACTCTGACAACGAATGGGCTTCTCATGTTATGTGAGGACAACCGGCATTTTCTCGCGAGCACGAAATTCAGGCATTCGAGACGCGTTCCCACTTGCCATCCAGCTTCGCCAACACAAGCGTGGTCACAAATTGATCACATTGCAATTAGCTTTAGGTTGCGGG